CGGAGAAAGCACACTCCACCCCGACTCCCAGGACCCGCACCAGGTGAGTCACCTAGTAGGGGCGGCGGTGGCGGCAGAGGCCCCCTTCCCTTGTGGGTAGAGCGGGAGCCCTGCACCCCAGGGCCCTGGGAGGACCCTGTCACCGCGAGCCAAGTTAGAGGGCAGGACCAGGGAGGGGGCAGGCCGACGAAGGGAAGATTTGCTGCAGGTCAGGTTGTTCTAGGTCCCTGGCCCAGCTCAGACAGACTCTCTTTGGACCTCTTGAATTGGCAACTGTGGCCTGTACCCGCCCGCCCTCGTCGCCCCTGGTTACGGGCTACCTTAGGGAAAGTTGGTAACGCTTTGCTCAGCCCTGGCCGCAGAGAGGAGGTGCCCACGCTGCCCCTCTGGCGGATTAACGGCGAGCAGCTTGGCCCTCTGGTTCTGGTGAAGTTCTTTGCCTGCGGTGCTTGATTTTTCGTGTCTAGGGCTGATGATGCCAGCACTAGCAGACTCCTTTTTGGAGTTGGAGCTGTAAACAGTTGTAATAAACGCTCCACACCCTTTGAAACAAAAGTTAGCCATATTTTCATAGCGGGGTCGTTGTGCACTGACCAGACAGGGGTTTGCTTGTTCACACCTGCAATTTGAGACTGATTGTCCTCAGTGTTCTAGTGTGGATCAACGCCCCTGAGGAATTCTGGTAAAAATATGCCGTCTTGCTAGACTACTTCTGAACAGCAATTTTAAAAAGTCTATGGAAATAAAACTCACCCTTTGCATGCCGGTTCTAGTTCTTTTTTGGGGAGTGGAATGGGGAGGGGACGTGTGAAGTGTCTTCACTATTGCTAGCTTGAGAACAGGAATCTACTGATGGAATAATTCCTCAGGAGTAGGGTTTCTGTGAATCATAATCAACTCCACACACAACAACAACAATCTTACAAGAGCAGTTTCTTGTGTGTATTTTAATATTTATGGTGTTTCTGCCCTTATTCTCAAACCATTAGCTTTGGTGTTTGTTTTCTACTTTTTCTAGCTCTTTATTCAAATGAATTTAACACAATTAAAGTGAGTATTGTCTCGACTGCCATGTTTTGTTATGTGAAATTTAGGGAAGGCATCCAAGGATCTTTTTGAGGAAGTTAAGTAATAATGAATTTGTACCTCTTGGGGAAGAAGGCAAGTTGTGCAAAAAGTTCCTTGAGCTTGGAGACCCAGACCTTCTATATTTACCATCACATCCAAAGTAATTCTCATAACTCTGTAAGTATTATTTGTTGCTAATTTGACTGTCTATCTAAAGTTGTATGATAGAGGCATCATATTCATAATACCATAATGTTAAAACTGACACATTTTTTACATTGTATATTGTAAAGTTGCCCTGAGCCTTAAAATGTCTTGCTCACACACTTCAACTTATATAACAGCTTATCAAAGAAGAGAATCAGCAGACATGCTTCTCATACTTGAAACTTTAAATACTGTGGCTAAATGATAATTAACTAGGATTGTGGCTCCTTTATCTATCCATCCCCCCTACTGATGCCCAGCAGAAATATTTAGCAGTTGAACAATGGTAGTCTGTGGAAAGATCAAGGAATTCAACTTCCTTAGTCAAATGATGGCCAAGCCTTATTGGCATTCGGAATGGAGAGATCCATCTTTAAAGACTAAAGATTTTAACAAGAACAGCTGTATTTTAGGCCTCTGTAATGGCATGGGACTATCACATGTCTGCAGTGGAGTTTGTTGCCTGTCTTTTTGCTTTGTTCTATCAGGTTTAGATACAAATTTCTATCTTCTGTCCTTTCTGTTTTAATGTTTTTGAGCAGTAGAAGCAAGCACACTGGCTCTTTGTATATGTTGACATCAATTAGAGTCAATGATTTTTAGAGTTATGTGGGGACCATATGAACCCATTTTGTTTGATCCTCTTGGAGGACACTTAAGGCCCTTGGTGGGGGCAGTGACTTGCTCTAGGTCACCCAACTAAGGTAAAACCTAATATGGAAGTTGGTCTCCTGACTTCAATGTCTGTTCCCCTATAGCACACTACCTCCTGGAGATTCTCTTTGATGGGGAGTGGAATTACATAGTAGACTTTTGCAAAGAAGAGTGCTCAGATCTGCACCATTTTCTTCTATTCCACCTACATTTTGACCAGACTAAATTTAACCATGCATTCCTTATTTTCCTTTCAATTTCAGGAAAATTGGAGTGTACTTTGAAGGAATTTTAGCCCAGATTCAACTTAAGTTTATTTTGAGTGTGTTTGCTTTAGTATACAAAAAGAAAAACAAAATGAAGAGTTTATTGATTATTAGAGTAAAATTGATACTGCTACACCTTGGCTAAAATTTCTAGTGCCGTGGTGCACCCTCTGCTGGCTTTTCAGGGACATTTAATTACAGTATCTGCTGACAGTCAAGATCCTACAATTGTGCTGGCAGATATGTTTTGATTCATAAATAAGGAAGTAAACAGCCTTGTGGTATATGGCCACATAGGTCATATTTTTATATTTTACTTTTCCCACGCAAATGGCTGCTGTTAGAGCAATGCTTGGATAGAGAAGAAGAAAGAAAAAAATATGCACCCTTCAATGGGCAGTACATTCAGATTTCTTGCCAGTTCATCCACAAAGAGTAAAGGCAAGTTGATGAGAATAAATTGCAGGAAGATCTCATGAGACCAACTGGGTAGAACAGTCAAAGGCACTTCATTGTGAGCATGTGTAAGGCCATGTAGAGGGGCAAATGTGAACATATATCCATAATTCAGAGATGAACTATAAAAGTAAACATACTCATAGTTATGAAATGGTGGACTCTGAGCTCAGTTGCGAATCAAGAAAGGGACCTAGAAATCACTATTAAAAACAAAAAACAAAAAACAAAAAAGCGCACTGCCATGGAGTTGGATCTCACTCATAGTGACCCCTCCTTGGGTTTCCGAGGCAGTATCACTACGGAAGTAGATTGCCCAATCTTCCTTCTGAGGAATGGCTGGTGGGTTTGGACCACCAGCCTTCTGGTTAACAGTCAAATGCCTGAGGCACTATGCCACCAGAACTCCCAGAAATCACTATAGATGTATGTATATCATCCTATAATTACAAAAAAATTAAATTTAAAAGGATGCAGAAGGACAGAATACATAGCAGGGAGATCACCAAAGTTCTCCATGGGAAATATTTAAAGACTCTCCAATGGAGACACAGCTGCTGATAACAAGTGAGAGGGCTACATCAGACCTTCTAGAATTATAACTGTCTCCTTTAGCCAGAGCAGCCGAGTACCTGTAGATTTAACTGGATACTTGCTGGACATGATCTCAGTGGATAGTTACATCCCACTGGTCTCCAAGTTAGACAATAAACAATATGATTATGAGAGTAAAGAAATAAATATGAAACCTGCTGTTGATTATTTTGTGAAGAAATTCGCCCAGTTGTGATTGTAGTCCTTAAAGGGCAAGAATATGGTGTATATCATCAGGAAGGGTGTTGAAAACAACAACAAACCAAAACTCTTATGTCTTCTATATATAAAAAAAAAAATCACATCCACGATCATACAGGAAATTCTGGTGGCTGTACCTTAAGAAAAACCTAACAGTTAATAAAAGTCCCCAGAAATCCAATTTTATGATCAAAATGGTGGTGGGACTTTCTGGTTTCTTTTTTTCAGTCTGGAGAGGGATAGTTTGAGGGGGGGATATGATCAAAGTCTGTGAAACCATGAGAAAGATGAGGAAGGTTAGTACATTGGCATGATTTAACAATTCAGTTCAATAAATAGAATGTTTGCTATGTGCTAGACACTATGTTAAGTATTACAAAAAACCCCCCAAATTCACTGCCATCGAGTCAATTCTGACTCATGGTGACCCCCACTGGATTTTTGAGGCCGTAAATCTTTAAGGAAGTAGATTGCTTCATCTTCGTTCTGCAGAGAAGCTGGTGGGTTTGAACTGCCAAGTTTCTAGTTAGCAGTCAATGTTAAATATTAGACACCTTTTAATGCTTGAAAGATTTTTTTTTGGGGGGGAAAATAATGATAGTATCTTATTCAAGTGATTGTCCCACCTGATTTCTAAACTGAAATTCTAAGTTTTTTTTTTTCAATTTAGAAAACAAAAATATGAGATGCCTCCTTGCCATGGGACCAGAAGAACTGGATGGTGCGTGGCTACCATTACTGAATGCTTTGATCAGAGATTCTGTAGCAGAATCCTGATCAAAAGAGGGAAAATGTAGATGAGAATTTCAAATTCTCATGCACCCTAGAATTTCTGGAGTCACAAAGGCTGGATGAACCTCCGAAACTATTGCCCTGAGATAATGTTCAAGCCTTAAACCAAAAAATACCCCCTAACATCTTCTTAAACTTAATGATAGTTTAACTTAATGAGGAAAAAGTGTTTGTGTAAAATGATGGATGGGAATAGTAGTATCAGTGTTACCTGAACCTGTCTAACTTCATGGGGGATAATGAAAATAACTATCAGAAAAAAGCTGATTCCTATAAGGAGGAGGTCATACATACTTCCATTCTCCAAACTTTTTACTTATTCTGACACCAGTTGTCCTCCATATGGCACTCTCTACATCTCTGCTGGGTTTGATAATCCATTGCAGTGGTCACACAGAACTCACAGACCATACTTACAGTTAAGTAGTTTATTAAGGAACAGGGTACAACTTGGGATCAGGATTGTTGTTATGTACTGTGGAGTCGGACCAGACTCATGGTGACCCCTCCTTGGGTTTCCGAGGTAGTATCACTATGGAAGTAGATTGCCCAACTGTCCTTCCGAGGAGTGGCTGATGGGTTCAAACCAGCAGCCTTCTGGTTAGCAGTCAAGTGCCTTAGGCACTGTGCTACCAGACCTCAACAGGCTACAATTTAGGTATCAGAATCAGGAAGCATGTAGGCAGAGTCTCCCTTCTTCAGTGCAGGACATCTCTCTTAGCTTCTCTTGGCCCCTTCAGGACAAGCTCCCTCTGCCACCGAGTCCCTTCCAGACCTCTTGCTACTAGCTCACCATTGGTCCCTTCCATGGCCTCTTGCAATCTTCAGTGTTATAGCCCTTGACCAGTGTTACAGCCTTTTAGGAGGTTCTTTGCCTCCTGTCTTTCGGCTGCTGCTTTTTCCTTTCTTCTTTCTGCTTCTCTTCTAGCTTCTCTCCGTCTGGCAAACCTCTCTGGGGCTGGCTGTTTAAATATACAAATTCTTTATCAGTTTCAAGGCATGGCACTCCCACCAGTGCCTTGAATTGATTAATCCCCTCTTGGTAGACCACAAGGCTTAGTTTGCTTAATAGGGATGGTTGGGCTATGGCTCACTTAATTTGCATAACTATTGACCAATCCCTGCAAGGTGCATACCAATGACAGGGCATGCTTCTGCCCAGGACTAGACAAAAAAATAGCAAACTCAGGAAGTGTCAGTCAACCTGTACAAAAGTAATAAACTCTTTGGGGTAGAAAACTAGAGCAAAGGTGATTCAGGGTTTAGGGGAAAAATCTCTCAATCTTCAAAGAACCAAGGCAAAAGGCCATGCAAAGGAACACATTTCACCACAATCTGCCTGGAGCATTATGTTCTTTTATAAACTACCTGTATGGGATAAAATTGACAACAGCAACTGAAAAGATTAGATAGGAACCTTGCGGGGTAGTGAGTTTGCGGTAATGGGGGAGGAACAATCAGAGAAGGAGAGTGAGAATGGTTGCACAACTCAGGGAATGTAATCAATATCACTGGATTGTACATGGGGAAACAATTGAATTGGTGTTATGTTTTGCTGTGTATATTCTCAACAACAACAAAATAAATAACATTTTAAAACATGTATAAGTAGAAAATAACAGTTTATTCAGGAATGTTAGGGATATTGGAGGAGTGTTCCTAATTATTGAGTGATGTAGTGAAAGTTAGCCATACCTTTTTACAAAACATGTTTTGGTGTAACTATGTTGACCATTAGTAAAGTTGAAAATATTAATGTGTTCAGATTTGATATTATTTTTATTAAGGCTTGTTAAATATCAGTATAATGAATAAATCCAAGGAATTTTTCAGGGGCGTGGGAACCAGTTAACTTCATTTTCTATAGGCTTAAATCTAGACTTTTCAATGTGATATTCAAGGCTTTTGATCAATGACCAAAACCAAACCAAACCCACTGCCGTTGAGTTGGATCTGACTCATAGTGATCCCTCCTTGGGTTTTTTGGCAGTATCACTATGGAAGTAGATTGCTCAACCTTCCTTCTGAGGGGTGGCTGGTGGGTTTGAACTGCCAGCCTTCTGGTTAGCAGTCAAAAGCCTTAGGCACTATGCCACCAGAGCTCCTTTTGATCAACTAGATCCAATATATCCATTCCATTTTCTCTCTCACTACTCCTGCAACCCACCCACCATATCCATATCCTGTCTTGAATCATTTTTCAGTTGTTACTGCTGAGCTGTTGTTAACACTTGTGTCTTTATATTAGAGTGCCTCAGAAATCTGCATTCTTTTTTGTTGTTCTCCATAGTTCCTGACACAATGCTAGTTACATTAGGGTACTCAAATACTTGTTGAGTTGAATACTCTTTTTGGACATTGGAGATGTCATTTTCTGTTTTGAAACTGGCCTGTTTTCCTTAGGTCTTGTTAAGCCTATGAACTGTCAGCTACGCTTAGTTGAGTAGTAGTCCCACTGCTAATGTTTCATTGGTTTCTAGCATCATTAGGGAAAAAATGGGGAACCTTAACCACATGGTTCATCTCCAGTTTCACACCTCATCTCTAAGATGGTATAAACAACTTTCTGTAATGTATTGTTCAATGTTTTATTTGCTTTTAGATCTCATATCTCCTCTTCTCTCTTAGATCTTGTGAAAAATAATCTGTAATTTGTCTGTAACTAACTTATAGAAAAGATCTCTTTATACTAGAGAGCTTTTAAAGCCATTTAATTCCCAAAACATTACTAAGAGAAATACTTGTCTTATTTCGGGGTGGCCCTTATAGAGGACCATCTTTATCTGATTTCTCTATAAATGCCTAGTACCTAGTTCTTAATTTCTTTTTAAAAATTTTCTATTGCAGTATGACACACATAGACAAAAGTACACAATTACAATTGTACAACCTGAGTTATTACAAAGTAAATATACTCAGATAACCAGCACCGAGGACAAAAATAGAAGATTCCTAGCACTTCATTACCCCTTATGCCCCATCTTTATCACTGTCCCTTCTTTCCAAAGTTAATGACTGTCCTGGCTTCTAACATCATAGATTAGCTTTGGTCATTTTGAAGTTTATATAAATGAAATAAAATAGTATGTATTCTTTTGTGTCTGATGTGTTTGCTCAACGCTCTGTGATATCCATCCATGCTGCTGCATGCATCTGTAGTTTTTCATTTGTATTTTTGTATACTGTTTCATTGTTTGAATATAACGTAATTTATTCATTGTGCTGTTAAATGAATGAATGTTCATTATTATGAATTCACTATTATCAGTAATGGTGCTATGAATATTCGTGTACATTTCTTTTGATCACATGTACTTGAATTCCTATTGGGTATATACCTAGAATTGGAACTGCTGGGCATACCAAAGAATCAAACCAAACTCACTGCTTTTGAGTCAATTCCAGCTCATAGTGACCTCTATTGGGTTTCCAGGGCAGTAAATCTTTACAGAAGCAGATTGCCCCATCTTCCTTCTGTGGAGCTGGTAGGTTTGAATCGCTAACTTTCTCGTTAGCAGTCAAATGCTTTAGGCACTGTGCCACTAGAGCTCCTTACTGGGTCATAAGGAATGCATATTTTCAACTTTACTTGTAATGCCAGTTTTTCTAAGTGGTTATACCAATTTGGATTCCTGCCAGCAATGTAGAAGAATTCCAGTTGTTCCACATCCTTATTAACAATTGGTATTGCTAGTCTTTATAATCGTAGGCATTCTGATGACTGGTTTTGTAATAATATCTCATTGTGATTTAGTTATTTCTCAGCAGACTAATGAGGTTGTACCCCTTTTCATGTGTTTATTATCTATTTAAATATTCTCTTCTGTGAAGTGCCTGCATAAATCTTTTGCCCATTTTCTTTTATTGTCTGACCTTTTCTTATAGATTTGCGGAGATTTTGTTTTTGAGAGCCAAGTCTTTTGCTTATTTCTTTCATTTGACATATTCTTTGATAACATCCTTGGCCTGGGATTATTTCCCATAGTCCTTAATAACCACACAACTGCAATTAACTACTTTACAGGTTCCCCTCTCTGTTTATTTTGAAGAGGCCTATCCACTCCTGTAGTTTCTTGTTGTCATCAACTTTAATTAGGTTGATTTGGTGTTTAGAACAAAGGTCCCCTACCAGCTTTGCACACATAGGCTCATCAGAGTTGAATATAATCATGCAAAGATGGGCTTGGCATATTTTCCTAGGTT